TAAAGGCGTGCGCCACCAACACCTGGCTTGATGTTTTGCCTAGATGTATGTCTGTGTGAGGGTGTCAGATCCCCTGGAGCTGGAGTTACAAACAAGTGTCAGCTGCCATGTGGGTGCTGGGAATTAATCCCAGGTCCTCTGGAAGAGTAGCCAGTGCTCTTCTTAATCTCCTAAGCCATCTCTTCAGCCCAGACACTGCATTTATTAAGTAAAGAAAAGTTTTGTAAGACCTGGGAGGCAACTCAGAGCCAGAGTACTTGCCTAACATGCCCCAGGTACTGTGTTTGATCCCTAGCAGTGTAAATAAAGAAATGGCTTTCTTGTATCAGCTGGTGTAGACATTTTGCCTGCATGTGTCTATACACCACATACATGCATGCCTGCTGCCCTCAGAGGCCGGAAGAGAGCATCAGATCCCCTAGAGCTAGTTATGAGCCACCATGTAGGTGCTGGGAATTGAACTCATGGTTTCTGCAAGAATTAAGTGCTCTTAACCTTTCCAGGCCTTTTCGTTCGCTCCCTCCCTCCCTCCCTCCCTCCCTCCCTCCCTCCCTCCCTCCCTCCCTCCCTCCCTCCCTCCCTCCCTCCCTCCCTTTGTTAAAAGAATAGTTTGAGATTGAGAAGTCAGGGGTTTGAGTAACTCATCAAACTTTCCTGAGGTGATTCTTTGGAGACCTTGCTTCCCCATCTGTAAAAGAAGGTTGGTAATATCTGCCTGTCCTGTGACCCACTGAAGAGATATGAAAACACTTTGTCTGTTTGGTCAATGTGCTTTTCAAGTGTTAGGTCTATGGAACCCTCTTCTGACCCTCTGGGTGGCTTAGCTCTGCAGGGGCTCCTGAACACTGGTGACACATGAAGCTCCCAGAGGGCAGGAATTGAATCCGAACGGGGAGAGGCGAGTGGAGATTTTATCCAGGGAGGGCCAGGGGCACGCCTTGTGCTTGATGCAGAGGCCCCATGGGACCAAACAGTTTGATTTGTGTAATCTAACTGTATCACTCTTTCTCTCTTTACTGTTTGGCCTCTCCCAGATAAGAGGCTGAATCTATCATATAAGGGATATCTTTTCCCCTGGGCAGACCAGGTATTCTTGGCCATGGACGGCTGTGTCACCTTTCAGGTCTGATACTCCTGTCCTCAGCCCCGTGTGCACAGGTTGGGAATCCACAGTGTGTCTTCTAGCTTCCCCACTATGTGGGATGAGCGACCACACATTCAGTGGTAGTGCCTTGTTCACGGTGGGGTTTAAATACTTTCCATGCTATCAGCCCTTTCCCGACCATAGCAGGGAGGAGAGATTGACCCCTGCTCAGGCTCTGGGGTTACTCATACTCTCTCAGCTTTCGTTTCTTTTGTAAACATTTGATCTTTTGCTTATGTGTGTAGTGGCGGTCAAGAGAAAACCTACAGGAGTGTCTCCTTCCACTATATGGATTCTAGGTTTTTGTTTGTTTTGAGACAGCCCTGACTGGCCTGGAACTTGCTATGTAAACCAGGCATGCAGAGATCCATCCACCTGTCTCTGTCGCCTGAGTGCTGGGATTAAAGGCCTGCTGTCATGCCCCGTGGGTTCTAGGGATTGAACTCAGACTATCAGGCTTGGCAGCAAACACCTTTATCCACTGAGTCATTTAGTCAGCCCCCTTGAACATTTTCTATTTGTTCACTCCTCTTTTGGGTTTAAATCTTGATGAGTGGGAGGGCTTTGGGGTGTTTCATTCCCTATTCCCAATCTTTCATCTTTGGGTCACTCCATTGTGGTTTCTGGGAGCTCCCAGCCTGAGGCACACATTCCCCGCCTGGAAGAGCTGGGCCCTGTTCCAGGGGCTTGTCCTCAACGATAGATTGTATGTTGGGTGCTGGGCCGGGTGCCTGAGACTCAGAGGCCCCCAGATTCTTTCCTGGTTCCCCCTTCCTTCTCTCTCCTTTGGAAGGACTCGTGCTCTCCTGGTTTTGGTGTCTTTGTATCCTTCATCCTGTTTGGTAGAGGCAGATTTCCTTCCTCAGAAGTTTCTCTCTGGCTTCCTTTCAAGTCCTTTCTCTTTCCTTTCTCATTAGTCTCTTTTGTTTGACTTGTAGAAATAGTTTGTTTATTGTTATTCCTTGTAATCAGGGTATTCTTTGCCTCTTGGTGTGTGGGAGCTTGCTTTCTATTTTGGGGTGTGCAGGAGAGACTTATGTGCAGTATTCCTGGCTTTTGCCCTGGGGGTGCCGTCAGCCACCCCAGTAGTGCTTGGGCAGTCCTGGACCATGGCAAGAGAGGGCTGATGGGACTGAGTCCTTGGCACTGTGCTGTACTCCTGAAGGCAATTGTGGTCTCAAACTCCTTGGGGTTGGAAAGTACCTCAGTGGTTTCCAAAAGCCTGTCTGTGGCCTGGCTGCTGCAGGAGCACCTGGGCAGGCTCTACCTCTGCTCTGGCCACCAGGGCAAGACATCGGTTTAATGGAAAGAGGTTAAAAGGCACTGAAGAAGGTGACAAGCTATGAAGTGTTTTTTTCTAGGCTGTAGGATCACTAGCGGCTTTTACATTCTCCTCTGTAACTTCTTACATTTTATGATGGTTTTACAATGAATATGTATTGCTTTTATTATTATTTAAGTATACAATAAATTTTCCTTCCTTCCTTCCTTCTGTCCCTCCCTCCTCCAGCCTGCCTGCCTCTTCTGGTTTTTAAGCTATTACTCATGGAGTTTGTTCAGTGTGTTAATTTCTGGGTCCCTTTTCTGGACATTCTGACCTTGTTGGCATGGGTGGGGCTTGGACACTCTTTCTTGTGACACAGTTGGGTTTAGAAGGTATAGATCTACTATAACACCAGTGTGAGTTTTCACAAACAGATTAGCGAGAGAGCCAGCCTAAAGCTAGCCTCTGATTCCTGATCTGAGGGTCTAAGTGGATCTTCTCTGGAACAATGAAAGGTTCCTGGTGCACAGTGATTGTAAGTAGGGACATCGCTCTGGGTTTTAGCCAACCCCTGCCACTTACTAGCTATATGATGGCTGGATTAGATCTTTGGTTATCTCATCATGGGCATGATAATACAGATCCATTTCATAGGGTTTAGGGAAGTGATGGGTTTTAACATAAACAGAAGAGTGCTTTTTATCTTACACTGCCTCAGAATTTTGGGGATCTTGTTGAAAATTCACATTCTGATTCAGTGGGTCAGCATTTCTAGTGAGCTTCCCTGGTGCTGCTGAGGCTGCTGTTCTGGGGACCACACCTTAAGAAGCAGGACTGTAGCGTGCTCAGTATGGAACCACCACAACCTGTCTCTATTATTGTTGAGGATCATTGTTGTTATTGTCACTTGGCTTTTTCAGACAGGTACCTGAGAAGATTTGCAATGCCAGCAGACTGGCCTCTCCAGGGACCTGTCTGTTCCCGGGGTCTCCTGTTCCACTCATGACCTTTGCACCTGTTGTGGGTAGCGGCTGGGGAGGCATGGTGGCGGGAGTTCTCCCAGCTGCTGCTGGCCCGGGTCACTAGCTTTGCAGCTGAAGTTCAGGCTGCTCTACTGGAACCAGACTTTGTTAAGCCGCTGAGTTTCCTCTTTTTGCTCATCTTTGTTTACAAAACACAAGGAAGCCATCAGTCTCCCTAGCGCCTTCTGCCAGGCTGGCCTCTCTGTGGCACATCTCGTTTCCCTTAACCGGGCTGGCAGGCACACTTCCCTCCACTATGGACCCTTTCTCTTTGTGGCTGAGGGCCATGGGGAGGGGACTCACAGCCTGCTTGGTTCCCTGGGGAAACCTGGGGCTGGATGGAACTTCAAAGCTCCAGGAGTCCAGGAAACCTGGTTTAACAGCATTGCTTGTCTTACTAACTTACTCTACCCTTCTCCCGTGTAAGTAGGAGTCGCCTGGTAGGAGCTGATGGTTGTGGTTAGAGGCAGCCTGAGGGAGTCCCCACCCCCCTGCCCAACACCTCACATAAACTGGCTTGCTGACTGGGCCACTGAAGGAATCCAAATCCAGCCTGTGCTGACCCCTCTCTGCACACTAGGTTTTTATTCCCCTGTCCACTAAGAACCCCACCGAGAGGCCCCAGTCTGTCCTCCTCCCCTGGCAGACGAGGAGAGAACAAAGACCTCTTCCAGCATTCCCCTGTCCCCTTCAGGCCTCTGCTGGTCTCTGGGAAATGGTACCTGTATGGACAGGACACCAGCCAGAAACCTTTGTGCTTCTGACCTCTGAACTTTGCCCCCTAGCTTCCCAGCCTGACAGTAGGACCCGGGATAACCTCCAGAGCTGGTGTGCATTCTTTGTTTTTGTTTGTTTTCAAGTGTGTTCTTGCTTAACGTTTAATTGGCTCCAGTCAGTAGGAAAGCTCTCCAAGAGGGATTATTTATGGCTTACTGTCAAAGCAGCTATAAAAAGGGCAGCCCAGAGCTGGGGATGCTGAAGGGGGAGAGGGCGGGCTCTCTCACACAAGTGTGTGTGTGTGTGTGTGTGTGTGTGTGTGTGTGTGTCTGTGTCTGTGTGTGTGTTTGTACTGGATGAAATCAGATTTTTGCTGCCTCAGCAGTGTGGTTTAAATTGAAGATTAACCCTTTGACCTTCACAGTGTCAAATCACTTGCAGATGGAGGCTCCCCCCTCCCTCTCTTGTTCTCTGTGTTCCTTTGGAATGGGGGAGAGGGAGGGACTTCTTGTCTTTCTCGCTCAAGCAAGATTGTTGTTCATGCAGCTGAGATTGGGGGGGCTCGGGAGCCAATCTGATTAAAAGCAGTACTTGGCTAAACTCTGGAAAAATCCTGCGAGCTGGGAAGAAAGTCTGACCCTCCTGTCACACACAGTCTACACGGCCCAGCCTAGTGTTTTTAAATGCCCAAACTGCAGTTGTCTTTGGAGTTTTGTTCCCTGTCCCCCCAGTTTGCTGGATAACACAACGGTGCCAGTCTGAGATCTGGCAATGGGAGCTTGTTTGGAACCAGTAAGGAGCCTGTAGTCTAGGCTGGTGCCTGGCATCTAACACTTGTCTCTTTCCGTTACAGCACCAGCAGAACCGAGACCGTGCATGGTGGCAGGTCTTCCTCTTCCTGCAAAACCTGGCCTTGAACAGAGAAGAAAACAGGGAAGGGGTGGGTCCCTGGTGAGGCTGGGCGGCCCTTGTTGGATGGAGCACCAGGAATGCAGTCTGGAACAGGACGGACATCTGGGAGGACAGACACTGTCTTGTCGAGTTTTGTTATTTTTAATTTTTTTCCCTCTGTGTATATATACCATACCCCCGTGGGATCTTCCTTCCTGCTCAGAACTTGCACTGGGAATGGGGGCCTTTGTCAAACACTGTTGAAGGAGAGGCTGCTGTGGAGTTGCTAAGACTCTGACGATGACCAGTTGGTGATGTTCTCCAGGAAGTGGACTGAGGCTTTCCTGCTGGAACTGGTTAAGAAGTGGGAGGTCAGGTTAGACTCCCAGGATCACCAAATATGTCAGCCTTCCCTCATGCCTGATGGAAACACGACTCTAACCCACCAGGACCTTGGCCAGGGCCTTCCTGGCTAAGAACAGCAATGCCTTGGCTAGCCAGCCCTACATCTGGGTTCCCACTTGGCATAGCCGCTGCCCACCACATGGGCTCAGGGATTCTTATTCAGACCCTGTCACCTCCAGAAGACCTCAGGGAGGGTTGGATTACTCTAAGAACCTCTCAAAGGTGCCTCAAAATGGAGTCAAGCTTGATAGGCCTCAACTGTGACTTGGTCCCACATGGAAACCCCTTGATTGGTCCCAAGGTGCAAACTACTGCCACCTTTGCTGCCTAGGTGTCAACCGTGTGTGAGCCAGTCACCATCGTGTTGTACCCAGCAGCCTGTGCCTTTGTCAGCTCTGTTTTCAAAAGACCCTGCCAACCACTGGACCGGATTGGACTACACCCACCTCAGCAGAGATGGGGTGGGTTGGAAGGGGGCGTGGGAATGGGGCAGCCATTCCACTGATGAGTCAGTCCCAGGGGATCCTAGGCCTCTTGGTTTCCTGGCAAACATGTACCTCCTCCCCCTTACCCCCATTCCTTTTTCATACCTAGAGGGATACAGGAAGAAGCTAGGACAATGACTTTGTCAGCTGAAAAGTGACTTTTGAAGTAACAGACAGTGTTTAGAACATGGAACCGCAGAGCTGGTTCCTTCAGCTTCCGGCTAACCTGGAAGGGAGAGTTCTTGAACCCAGAGGAATCTCAGCTGCCTCTGAAGTCTTCCTTCTCTCCCTGCCTCAGCACTCAGGGAGGGGACTCAAAGCAGCTGACCTTAGTCACAGGGTGACTCCTAACCCGACACCTGGAAATCACATCGTAATTTTTATGTCTGTGAGGAAGACATTGGTGCTAAGGATGAAGCCCAGAGGAAAGATGGCTTCCCCAGCAAAGACGACTCGGGTCCTTCAAGGGATCTGGAGGAGGAGCTCAGAGGAGACTCAAATTGAACAAGCCCAATAGCTCTCATTTCTGTGGGGGGAGGGTCTTCAGTCCTGTAGAAGAGCAACTGGCCTTCCTGGGTATACAGTTGGGCATGCTTTCTACTCACAAGGGTATGTGAGGGATCACGGAGGCTCTGCTCTCTAGGCTGTATGTCCTCATGTGGGGCTGGATCTGCTCAGAGTTAGGGATGCCTTTCCTAATCTACACAAAGGTACTGTATGCACTCGAGACGGTCCCAAGAAGGACCTTGAGATACGTGTGTAAGCCTTTGTGTTCTGCTTAGATGATCTGGAGATGTTACCTCTTCTTGGCCACAGTCATTTTCTCAGGGTGTATACCATTGTCTGCTAAGAAGCTGGGTTCCTGTTTGCAAGAAGAAGGGACCTAATTAATGAATTTGAAGTCTGGTTCTGGTGCACACTAACCATCATGAAGACCTGTCTTCCTGTAGGCCTCCCAGGCAGGTTAGATGTTCACGGGACATATGTGGTCTTCCGCTTTCCTGAATCAAGGCTATGACGGGAAGGCTTCTGGTATGTGCTATGGTACACGTGCACCCCCCCCCCCCCCATACAGAACCATGTACACCTGTCATCTTTGAAACCTTTTAGCAGACTTTACATCTGTGCTAGGGCACAGCTCTCCGCTTCGGAGACCTTGCCAGGCACAGGCTGGGTGCCCCATGGTCTTTCCTGAGAACTGAGCCCAGAGATTGACCTGAACAATGAGTCTGGGCTCAGGTGGAAGCTGGTCAGAATGCACTGTCTCCACTTTGGGCCTAGGCAGGCTCAAACTCACTAACTTGGGCAAGCCAGGGTGAAATTGAAACCCTCTATTATCTTCCTTCAACCTGAGTCCAGGCTGGGGTTGGAGCTCTGTGATAGAGTTCTCACCTAACAGTCAAAAGACCCTTGGATGGATCCCCAGGACTGTAAAATATAAATAAACAAAAACACAGCCCCCCCCCCCCCAGCCCTAGGAGGTAGCTGGCAGCCCAGCCCAGGAGGCATAGGTTCCCCCTGGCTGGTTGCTTTAATTGGCCAGTGATCTATGCCTGGTGAATTGGCTTTACAGTCTCCCAGCCAAGCTCCAGGACATCCAGCCCCTCCCCTTTGCCTCTCTCCAACTCCAGGAGCCTAGCTGTCTCTGAGGAGTGGAGATTCAGGGCTAGAGGGAGGGAAGTCTGACCTGTGTGATGACCTGTAGCCAGCTGAAGGCTTTGTGGTGTGCTGAGGATGGGGTGGGAGAGGGGCGGGAAAACTGTATAGAAATGCCCTAGAGGGGCAGAAGCCCAATATTCAGGGGCCGAACTGCTCTTCTAGTTCACAATTCCCAACAGGCATTTCTAGAAGCCGGTGAACAGATCTGAAAAGGACTGTCCCCCAGTCCAGTTACTGGCTCCCCAGTGAGGCTGGGGCAGGGGGGTGGGGGCAGCCCACTGCCTGGCCCTGTCTCTGTTTCAAAGTCTGGCTGTGCTATGCAGTTGTCCCCAGTGGCCTTGTCTTGCTCAATCAGAGGTGGAAAAAGATCACCTCCCGGTGACCTCCCTCAGGCCCCAAGGGATGGGCTGTGTCCAGAGCTATGTGGCAGAGCTTGTTTCCAGGGCCTAGAGAGGCCCAGCTGGCCAGCCCTGCAGCCCCAGCCACAAGCCCAAGCCCAGCCCTGAGCATGGCGGGGAGTGGGTATTTGAGACAATCTAGCCAGGGCCCCTGTCTGTCCCAGGCTTTCCAGGAACTAGGCAGTGAAGTCACTGGCCGTCCCGTCAGGCCGTCCCATCAGGGAGAACAGTGCTGTGACAGGAGCTTTCCCTTCGGGGGACTTGATAGGGAGTCTGGTACATGTGCGCGGAGTGGCCAAAGCCATCAGTCCTCTGCAGGACTTGAGGAATCAGTACTGTGGCCTCTGTCCTCCTGGTGGGGCAAACTGGCTCAATGACAATGAGGACCTTTGGAAACAGGCTGTCTTAGCCTGATACCCTGGTGGGGCAGAGTGGACCCACGGGCGGTCAGTTTCCTGGGGTTCCTATGAGCTGCAGGCCTGGGAGACAGAGCCTCAAGAGGACAGCAGAGCGAAGCTGGGCTCTTCCGTATATGCCTCGCCTTGGCCAAGGTGCTAGGAGGTGTGCAGCCCCAGGCTTGCACTGCCCCTCTTTCCACAGGCTTGCACTGCCCCTCTTTCCACAGGCTTGCACTGCCCCTCTTTCCACAGGCTTGCACTGCCCCTCTTTCCACAGGCTTGCACTGCCCCTCTTTCCACAGGCTTGCACTGCCCCTCTTTCCACAGGCTTGCACTGCCCCTCTTTCCACAGGCTGGCACTGCTCCTCTTTCCACAGGCTTGCACTGCCCCTCTTTCCACAGGCTGGCACTGCCCCTCTTTCCACAGGTGTCTCATGGTCCACCCCATCTCTGGTCCACAGGAACTGACGGGGGGACCCAGTGAGATGTAGCATTTCATTCACCCCAGTTTGAGTGCCCTGGGGTCTGGGCATTCTGCCTTAAGGAGAGAAATGGGGACCATTATGTTTTACCCTGTACATAATATTTGGCTTTTTTTTTCTCTTTACATGTATACATGTGTAAATATCCTCTCCCTCATCAACTGGTACAATTTTTAATAAAACCATTTAAAGTAAATCTGTTCTTTATTTTTCTAAGATGTGGCAAAAACACTCGAGGGGCATCAAACCCTCTTAACATGTTTCTCCCTGACACCCCGAGTTACCCTAAGGCATCAGGCTCTTCCCATACTGCCTTTCGCCTCTCAGAGTTGGGAAGAACAGTCTGGCTTCATGGTAACAGCGCCACAGAAGCCCAGCGTCATGGGACAAAGGAGCTTTGGAGGGGTCATCCTGAGTTTGGGTCCAGTCTCTGGCCTCCACCATGACATTGACGGTGATGGAATGTGCCACAGGCCCTGCCACCTCTGGCACCCAGCACTGGCAGTCTATGTGGGAGAGGAAATTCCTGCCTTTCTGCATACAACCTATCCCCCGGCAAGCCAAACCTTGGGTTCCTTTTACCAGGTAACAAGCACCAGGTAGCATCTCAGGCCTGGCTTGGTAACTCAGGCCTGTGGTCCCACTGTTTGGGAGACTGAGGCAGGAGGATCACAAATCCAAGACTGGCCTGGGCTATAGAGAGAGTTCAAGACCCTGCGTAAAAGCAAAGGACTGGAGCTATCACTTAATGGTAGAGGACATTCCAAGCAAGCGGGACGCCTCAGGTTCAATCCCCAGCTCATGAAGGTAGGGGTGAAGTGGAGGGAGAGGGCTCAGGGGATACCAGTGGGTATGTACCTAAGGGTGGATCTTGAAGGACCCATTCAAAAGACCGGGAGCAAAGGCACACTCTAATCCTAGAGGCAGCAGCAGGAAGAGCCCAGCAGCTTCCCTGGCCAGCCACCAGCAATGAATTCACAAGCTCCAGGGTAAGTGACAGATCCTGCCTGGAAAAATTAGCTAAAGGGGCTAGAGAGACGGCTCAGTAGTTAAGAATGCTTGCTGCTCTTCCAGAGGACCTGAGCTCGGTACAGCTGCCTATGATTCCAGTTCTAGAGGGATCCAATGCCTCTAGGCTACACAGGTACCCACACTCATGTGCACATTCCCACACATATACAAACAAAGAGAAAATGAAACCTTTTAAAGACATGTATAAGGAGCCGGGCGTTGGTGGCGCACGCCTTTAATCCCAGCACTTGGGAGGCAGAGGCAGGTGGATCTCTGTGAGTTCGAGGCCAGCCTGGTTAACCGAGCGAGTTCCAGGACAGCCTCCAAGACAATACAGAGAAACCTTGCCTCGAAAAACCAAAAAAAAAAAAAAAAAAAAAAAAAAAAGACATGTATAAGAACATTTATCAATAGAGAGAGAGAAATAGGGGATACCCCAACTTCAACTTCCAGCCTGCACACATGCCTCCCCCATACATGCACATGTGTATGCTTGAAAAGAGCTTGGTGGTGCATGCCCTTAACCCCAGCACCTGGGAGGCAGGAGCCAGCCTCATCTACATAGGCCAGCCAAAGCTACATAGTGAGACTATTTATAAATTAATTAAAAGGTGGCCTGTGAGGAGTCATGTGCTGGGTGTGTAGGGACTTCCTGGTTGATCTCTTGTCTTATGTATGTATGTGTGAATCAACAAAGCATGAGACTAGACAGGGCGATTTCCAGCTCTTGACCAAGTTCTGTAAGTCCTTAGGGAAAAGCTGTTGTGGGTCCTGCTTAACCCTGTGCCGAGAGCAGAGGGCCAGCTGGCCTTCCTGTGTCACGCTGCTGTGAAACCACCAGCTCGCCACAGATGTCCTTCTCTTTAGAACGTGGTCACTTGGACCATCTTGCCTCTTGCTTTGCAGATCCGCTAACTGAGGCCCACTCTACTTTTCTATGGAGGCTCGTTAGATAGCTGAGTCAGGCCGGCTGTGTGTGAGTGTCGCACTCTATCTGCGTTTCCATTTGAAAATCACATTGCTAATGCCCAGTTATTTGAGGAAGCCAACACTTGTCTATTTTTAATGCCAAGTAACTGCCTCTTCTGTAAAACATGGCACTTTTAACTACTCTATATTTGAACAGTAAGGTTTATTTTTACTGGAGTGTGGTGAGAGTAGGGCTTGGTGCCATGTCCAGATGTTTTTCTACACATTATATGCTAAGTTGTAGTTGAGTCCATTAAGCAGTTCCTATGAGTTACACAGAGAATCAGTAGGTGCCTAGTGATAGCAATGTCTTGCAACCTCTGCCCCGCGAGATCGTCGTCTCTATAGGTCAGGAATTCTAGGTCAACAACCCAAGGTGGCAGCAGGATGAGACTGGGGTGTTGGCATAAAGTGGGGTTAGTTGAAAGACTCCTTTAGTTTGCATCAAGTCAGTTGTGTGGTTTAGCTGAGGAGGGTTGGAGGGAGGGGCTCATAGCATGGTGGGGGGCAGACAGTGATGTATTGGTGCATAGTGACATACTACAGCTCTCTTGCTCTTCTATGTGCAAGTGGCACTCTGTGCGTGCGTGTGTGCGTGCGTGCGTGTGTGTGTGTGTGTGTGTGTGTGTGTGTTTGTGTGTGTGTGTGTGTGTGTGTGACATGGAGCATGCACAGGCCCTTCCCTGGTCATATCACATCAGATTCTGATCATACACAGATACACCTCTCTGCTTCAGTGTTCTCAATGCCAGCCAGGGTTTTCCTCTGCTGCTCAGCTGAGGCAAAGAAAAAACTGGCTGGCTGGGCTTTCCTGAGAAGTGGTCATGGCTGCTTGTTGAACTTCATGGGCATCTTAAAGGATTTTCAAGGACAAATTTTACTTTATGTACTTTTCCCCCCCTCACTGGAGGACTTGGAACTGATCCCTTTGTAAAATGAGACTCTTTTGGACCACTAAACCCAACCACTCTGTCCTTAATCCCTTGCTTCCTGGGAGAACTTTTTGCCTAACTGGGAAGACTATATGGGACTGATGTCTAATTAGAATTTGAAATGCCACTTGGGCTAGGCAGTAGTGGTGCATGCCTTTAATCCCAGCACTTAGGAAGAAGAGGCAGGTGGATATCTATGATTTTGAAGCCAGCCTGGTCTACAGAGTGAGTTCCAGGACATCCAAGGCTACACAGAGAAACCCTGTTTTGAAAAACAAAACAAAACACACAAAAAAAGAAGTGCCACTTGGGAAGGTGAGAAGGAACCTTGTTAACCATATCCTGTCAGCCACCGACATTTAAACTTCCCTGGCTCCATGCCACTCTGCATTTGAGTAACACTAACAGTGCCTCAGAGGGTGAGGCCCTCTGATGAGCCAGTGACCACAGAGACGAGGAACCACCCTAAGCCCGGGGCACAGATCCAAAACAAGCCACTCAGTTCCTGTCCTGAAGATCATACCCTGCAAGAAATCCAGGTGGTGTAGAACACTGGAAACCCTAGCTGGCCTGGACTGAGGAGATTTGATTCGTAAGATGTCTGTCATTAACTGGTGAAGAGACCTGGGACAGGACCTCTCTGGTCTTGGGCATACTCACCTGTTAGTGGGACAGGAGTAGGTTTATCTGCCCAATGTTTTGTCCCTTGGTTTCTTTGCTGGGGAGGGGGGATCTTGAATTATTTTGTTTGTACCGAAACAAAATATTGATCATTTCCCCAGGAAAAAGGCACACAGTGTATCTAAAGTCAAGGATTTGTGTATAAGATTTCAGGCAATTAGCTGGGACATGGTTGGCATATGCCTGTCATCCCAGCAGAGGGGAGGCTGAGGCGTAAAGATTGAGAAATCATATAATGAGACATTCTCTCTCTCTCTCTCTCTCTCTCTCTCTCTCTCTCTCTCTCTCTCTCTCTCTCTCTCTCTCACACACACACACACACACACATACACACACACACACACACACACACTCACACACACACACCAAAACAAAACAAACAAAAAAAACCACAGAGGATTTTTTGATAGTTTTGACCTGGGTCTTGCCATATAGTCCAGGCTGGCCTCAAACTCACAGAGATCTACCTGTCTCTGTCTCATGAGTGCTGGAATTAAAGGCGTGCCCAGCTAAGAGAGACTTTACAATGTAGTAAAGACTGCCTTATTGCAAAGCAACAGGACCTAAGAACAAGCACCCGGGCATGGGTTCACATGAAGATCTTAAGACTGTCATTTTACAGAGAAACCCTGTCTCGAAAAACAAAACAAAACCAAAAAAAAGACTGTCATTTTAACACCCCAACTTTGTGATGAGAATGCTTTTTCTTCTCTGAACACCAAAAGCATTAAAGTCAGGTGTAAATGAAAAAACAAAAGAACAGGCACCCAAGGCCGCAGAGGCCTCGAAACCCAGGTGAGCCTTCTTCAACCTTCTTCCAGCCCTCGCTTTCCACAGTGAGCAGCATTGCCTCTGCACCCTCTGTGTACCGTGACAGAGAATTGTGCAACCAGGGGAGGCTTGTGTTTATCAGACTGCATTCCTGATGTCAGGGACCCGCATTTCCTGTCCACACACTCACAGACCAAGGCTGTGACAATGGCTGGTTCTTTGGGAAGCCACGGCCCCGTCCAGACAGGGTATTTGTGGCCTGTCTTTATAGCACTCTTAGCCAGTTTAAAGGGGGAGAGGTGCCTTTCCACAAACACAGAAAGGCCCTTCTGATGCTCATCCTGAGTCAGTGTCTTGAAACTAACCAGACCTTGAAAGTGTGGACAACATGGCCTGCGGCTATGGGAGCCCCAGGTACAGGCAGAGAGGCCAGGAGGTTTGCTCGATCCTGACAAAAGTTTCTTGTTTGTCACCTGAGTGAGCCCAGGGTTATGCCCCATGATTCTGACTTTGAAGTGGAGAGGGTTCAATGCCCAGTGGTTACCTCATTTCTAACACATATTTACCAAGTGCCCCTGAGCCCCAAGGCACCAATTTCAGAGGCTCTGAAAATGTGAATAGACTCAAGTGAACTGGATACTATTCTAAACAGAGCCACAGAAACGCTCTCCAGTCACTGAGTTTGGGAGGAGCAAAGCTGTGAGCTTCTTTGATGTTACCAGGGACAGTACAGAGTCAGTGTCCCACAGCTAGCCATGCTAAACATGACATTTCAATGTTTCCTTCCTGGATTATAGAGAAGAGTGATGGTTCTCCTCTCTCTTTCTCCTCT